TGCAGCAAGATTTCTTAAGAGTTTTCAGTTCTCTGTGGATCGAAAACACTTGGAGCGTGTTAGTGATGTTTTGGTTCCAGGGAACTCGGAGACATATCTGACTTTGCTTTCTGCTGCCACAGTTCGTTTGGGGGCTGGTGGCATTGGGGACCTGCTTTGGCCTCTGCCCTGCATTGCCATCCTTACCTTCCCTGGAGATCCTCCACCTGCAGCCCAGCCCCCGCTCCCCAAAGGGCGATGGCCGTGAGGCTAGCAGACGGGCGCCCTCAGGTGGCCGCACGCTGCAGTCGCCGCTCCCGAGGCAAGTGCTTGTTTGCTGAAAGCTGCTGTGAGATCTAGCGTGCTCTGACTTCTTCCTATAAAAAAGGCACCAATGCACACACGCTCGTTAGACCTCTGATGGGCTGCGAGCAGCTGCCTTTTTGTATATTCCGTCTCTAGCCATCGTGTTTGACCCCAGTCGCCCCTGTCGACCCGTCAGCTGTCGACTTCAGCTGTCACTCCGGATTCTGAGGCTGGTTCGTTGAACGAACACTGTGTGTCAAGTGGTGCTGTTTCTGGTTTATTGAAGAGCAAACCTGTGCATTCCTGGCTCTTAAGTTGCAGCAGGGGAGATAGGCGGTGACGATGAACAACAAGAAATACTCTTGCAGAGTAGCTACATGGTGGGTGGTGAGTTGTTAGGAAGGTAGAGCGGGTCCCAGAACAAAGTAGAGGTGAGGCTAAAACCTCAGAGCAAGGCTTGAGGGAAGACAGCAGATGGAGAGAGCCACGGACATGTTCCGGGGAGGAACATTCCAGGCAGAGAAAACCTGCAAAGGTCCCAAGTGAGATACTTCCTGACAGGGTTAAGGACTAAGAAGAAAGCCCCCAGAGATTCTTCTTAATGTGTCTGTGTGGTTTTCAGCTGGGAACATAGGAACAAACAAAACAAATGCCCTCTCACGTGGCATCTTCACTCTGGTGAAACAGGGGTCGTAACAAAGGGCCAGAGAGTGTTCAACGGATGACAAAAGGGTGTCAGTTGCACTCACTAGAACACATTCTCTAGTGAACAGCCCTTTGTACTGCCCAGAGGAGGGGTCCCTGCTTCCCACCGCTGGAGAACAAATTGTGTCGTTCGTTCGTATGTTTGGGCTGAGGACATATTGGGCAGCAGCCTTCCAGTTTTACTCTAGTACCAGAAATGAGACAACCCGGGGTGGAGAGATAGCTCAGCCATTAGGATCACTTGCGCCAGGAGGTGGTGGCGCACGCCTTTAGTCTCTGTACTCGGGAGGCAGAGGCAAGTGGACCTCTGTGAGTTCGAGACCAGCCTGGTCTACAGAGTGAGTTCCAGGACAGCCAGGGCTACACAGAGAAACTGTCTCAAAAAACAAACAAACAAAAAGATCACTGGTTGCTGGACCCGGGTTTGATGCCCAGCACCCAGATGGTGATTCGCAACCATCTGTAACTTTAGTTTCGGGAGACCCAATATCCTCTTCTGATCTCTGTGGACACCAGGCATGCACGTAGTGCACATACATACATACATGCAGGCAAAACACTCATACATAAAATAAAATAGATAAATCTAATAAAAACATAAAGAAACAAGAGGGTCATATATCTTCTCTGCAGAATACAGCCTCAGGAATTTCTTCTGTACTCCATTGCTCAGATACTAAGCCCCAGCACCCACACCAAGAATGAAGCTGGTGCAAGGGTGGGCCAGTGTCGTAGCATGGAAAGCCTTAGACAGTTAAACTTCCTAGTTCAATGAAGCAAGTCTGGCAGTCAGAACCAGAGCTGGCTCTCAGAGCCCCACCCAGCCACATAGCCAAACGCAGATTCTGGGCACAAGACCAAAGTGAGTTCAGCCGCCTCCCACTGTCTTCTCAGATCAGAAGGCCACCAGTGGTTAAGGGCAGCTTAGCTGATTGGCTGTGGTTAATGGCAGCTAAGCGGCTGTGATTGGCCAGGGGATCAGCTGTCTGTCACAGTCAGCAGCTCCTATGCAGGATTTCTTGTTTCCTCTTGTTTCTGTAACTAAGTTAGGTTGTAGCTCCTTAAGAAAGGGCTTGGGCCTGGAGGGTTCCTCTGAGAAAAACTGGTTGAGTTTGACAAGTGACAGATATCTGGGGTGAGTCTAGGCTGGCTCTGAGGAGAAAAGGAAACTACAGAGGGGAGATCCCTAGGGGTGAAGCTGGATTCATCAATCAGAACACTGTTGCCATTGGTGGCAGTAGGGAGCCGAGAGCGGACTGGGAGATACACAGTCCATAAGGAGGAAAAGAGCAAGAGTGAAGATCATTTAGGCGGGAGAACTGGAGCACGAGATGCCAGTTAATGAGTCTTTTCCTCATGGGTACAATCAACAAGCAATTCCAGCTCATGGATGAGAAAAGGCATATTTTGGTAGAATGCCATGTAGCTTATGGCAAAGTCTTCAGTCTGGGATTGTTTCCAAAGAATTGTGCCTCTGGTGGTCTTGGTGAGGGACTCATTTTCCGGACCAATTTGGTTCTGAAACTGACCACACACACACACACACACACACACACACACACACACACACACACACACACACACACACACACCAAAGCATCTACCTCACTCAATAGGCTGTAGAAATATCTGGGCCTCCACAAGAACATGAAGAGTAGAAAAACTGGTGTTCGGACATTTTCTAGGATCAAGGCTGCATTAGATATTTAATGTGAGTCTAGTTTTTACATTTGATCAATATTTATTAAACATCACCACATAGCAATTACAATATTGCTAAATTGGTGATGATGATAAGGATAGAGAACTTTAGAACTTTTTATGGATTCGAACAATAATCATAAGGAAGGAAATTAAACTTTCTCTTTTTTTTTGGGGGGGGGGGTCAAGACAGGGTTTCTCTGTGTAGTTTTGGTGCCTGTCCCGGAACTCAATCTGTAGACCAGGCTGGCCTTGAACTCATCCCACCTGGCTCTGCCTCCTGAGTGCTGGGATTAAAGGTGTGTGCCACCACCGCCTGGCTAGGAAATTAAACTTTGGCTCTCTCCTTTTGGAAGCTGACATGCTATTTCCTATTGAGGAAGACACAGAGGCTGCAGGACCACATGAGCCATGACCACGGCATCACTAAGAGGTTCATTTTGACAAGTATCCCCCAAGTTACTCTGGGGAAAGTTGCTACAGAGCATCACCACTGATATTGGGATGCCCTTGCCTTACCTGTCAAATGTAATAACTATTCAGCTAGTACGCACAAGTAAATGCTGCCTCAAACAAGATTGGAGCTGCCTCATTCTGGACTTGGTACCATCAGACTGTTCTGAAGTTGTAGAAGATGCTGAACCTGCCTGTCCTGAGGAGGGCCACCTTATTCAGCAGACAAACTGAGGTTAAGGGTCTTGGAGGCACCTATACCTTGGGAGGCTGGGAGCCTTTAAACCTTTTAAAGGACAAAATTCTTAAGAGATGTTTCCATTAGGACTTCATATGAAGTTCTTGAAGTGAAGTCGAGTTCATAATAAATTTGTTATTGAAGAAAAACAAAACAAAGCCCCATGAAACCCAACCTACCACAGTAAGGTGTACTCTGATGAAATTGGTCTGTGGATTTGGAATATTTGATCATAACTTAGAACATGTACAATTGTAATCCAACTGTCCCACCTGCCAAGTGATAGAGGTGTTTAGGATATTCCTAACAGCTTAAAAAAAAAAAAAAAAAAAACCTGAACAGTGAAAGTTTTCATGCTTGTAAAGTTTTGGTTAAATAAAATATCTTCATGATAGGACACTACACAGCCTTTAAGAGAATGAAAGGATGTTGACATGAGATTGCCAAAATACATTCATTTAAAAGCAAATGAAGACTATACTATCATCCGCGTGCAAGAGACATGGAATTATGTTTGTAACTACACACGACTATGTCTGAAAAGCTAGGCCAGCACTGGTGTAATCACTGCCTGTGGGGAGGAGGAAGGAAGTTGAGCACAAGAGAGTATTTTGTTTTGTTTCAAGAGCATATATTATACACTCAAGAAATGTTATTGTTGGAACCCTCCTCTTTGAGGGGTGGGGTGGACTGTAGCTCAGGGGCAGAGCACTTCCCCGGCATATGCAGCAGCCTGGGTTCAAGCCCTGACACCACAAAAAAAAAAAAAAAAAAAAAAAAACAAGCCAAGTTGGTAGAAAGTTGATCTTTATACCAACTCTGATTCACCAATGTTGGAAACACATTTTTGTCAAGTTGGCTAATTCCTAGACTATCTTAACCTGAAATTTTTCCTCTCTTCCAGTAGAGCATGTAAGTTAGGTTATTACATTTCATTGTGAATTATTGGTCAAGTCAACCACCTCTATGGCCCAAGATTCTTCATCTGAAAATGATAAGCTTAGAGGAGAGATGACCTCCAAACATCTTTCTTTTGAAAGATGCTGTGATTATGGCTCTCCGTTGTGTGTTCAAAAAGAAAAATAGTACAATAACTTGGCAAGTCAGATAGTGTGCTTTGGCTGTGAGAAATGAGTAGGGCTGAGAGATGGCTTGTGAGGTAAATGCTTACCCTGTGAGTGTGGGGACCTGAACTTGGATACCCAGAACCCAAGCAAAACTGGATACAGTAGCTCACGTCTGTAACACTGATGCTCCCATAGTGAGATCAGAGACAGAGACACAAGACTCTGGAAGCTCGTGGGCCAGTTGGCCTGGTGGTGGACACCACAGTTTACAAGCAAGAGACTCTGTCTCAAACAAAATGGAAGTCATGGGCTGACACCCAAGACTGCCCTCTGACCTCCATACATGTGTCATGGTACATGCATGCCCACGTATACATGAACAGACACACAGACATCAGGCAAACAAAAAATCTTCTTGAGTCATTAAAAAAAAAGGACCCCTGTATAATTAATATTTTCATAAAACACTGCACTCCTTAACCACACTTTAAAATTCCCTTTCATTTTTCTTCTGTCTTTGAAGCGCCATAGGAACAATAAAAGAAACAGACTCGACTGAAGAAATTTATTTACTTTTTCCCCTAGGTACATAGATGACATAATTATAGACAAGTTTTGATACCCTCCTGTCCACCTTCCTTTTTCTAAATGGATCATCACAATAATTTTTTTTTTTTTTTTTTTTTTTACAATTTTTAAAACAATACACAGCTTTCTTGGGCTGAAGCAATTGCAAGAACGTATTGGTATTGGTATATTACAGCTACTTACAATGTTTAAGAACAGTAATGGAGAAAAATAAGTTATTTAAATATTGATTTCATATACAGAAAGTGCAATGTTGTTAGTTGTCAAAGAACTTGCTTGACAGTTTGTTTCTCTCTTTCTATTTAAATTTATTCAATTTAAAAATCAAGATAACTTGGACGCAAGACAGTTAGATTTTTCCGGAACCTCACTCAGTCGGCACACAGCAGTGACTTGGGAATCTCTCGGTTCCACTGCGGTTGTGAAACACACTATGCTGTGCTGGGGATACGTTTCTCACAGAGGAATCATTTCCAATTTCATCCACACCTGGGGTTAGGACAGAGAAAAGGGCCCCCAAATATGCAAGGCCATGAAAAGCTATTTGCTCTCCTTATCTGGGAATGTAAATAGTAGTTTGGGCAGCTGCTTTCTCTGCAGACAGCTGTGACGCACAAATCACACACACTCTGGGTAGCTACCTGAGCTGAAACGCCTTTCCAGGTTTCTTTTGTGCTTTCCAAAGACAACCATTTTCAACGCCACTCAAAATTCTGTACCAACTGCAACTAACTGATCAAAACTGGATCTTGCTAAAGCCTGCCACCTGTCCACCAACAGCCACAGGCAGCCCCAAAGCCACCTCAGCGTCACACACCAACATTCAGGCTTTATTCAGACCAAATGAATTGTTAAAAGCAAACAAAAAACCAAACAAAACACTAAAGATATATTAGGAAGAAAAAAAAGAAAGAAAAGGACAACCTCAGCCCCTTCGACATTCACACTAAACTCATGGTCCCTGAATTTAAATCTCCATGCAAAGGCAATGATTTCCAGAGTGATCAAACTATTGTTTGGCATTCTCAAGACCTCTGGTGCTAGTTTGACTGAAAAGAAAACCCTACATTGAGAATGAACTAAAACATGGAATTCACATGAGGTTTCTCTTTCTCCCTTGTTACCTCTAAGGTGACTTTTTGTAGTCTCTTTGCTTAGCCAAAATCATGAGCAGAGTCTGTTACAATGTCAGGCCAGGGTTATTTCAAAGCATGGGGAGAAGCCTATTTTCTAATACCAGCCCCACAACAGCATGGGAAATTACCAGGATGCTGTAGCTGGCTGAAAACCCTGCAACCCCACCCATTAGTTGGGCTATGCCACAACCTAGGAGGCCAAGTATGAGCTCTTTTTTTTAAGAGTCCAATAGGAATCTGGAGGTTTACCTTTTTTTTTTTTTTTTTTTTTTGGCGAGACAGGGTTTCTCCATGTAGTTTTGGTGCCTGTCCTGGATCAAGCTCTGTAGACCAGTCTGGCCTCAAACTCACAGAGATCTGCTGACTCTGCCTCCCAAGTGCTGGGATTAAAGGCGTGTGCCACCACCGCCCAGCCGGTTTTACCTTTTTCTTCTAAATTGCCTCAACTTCTTCACACGGCATCTTATAGAAGACGGTGGAATGGAAAAAACATAACATTGTTATTCTAAATGCATGCCAAAATATGAAAAAAGTAAAATAAAAAAGACATCACCTGAGGATGTTCTTTTACTCAGAGACATGGATTCAGCCACATAAAGCATATGGTCAGGATGGCTTTGTTATTAATAAAATCACTTGCCCTTCTCTCCTGTGGGAAATTGTGTATTAATAACCCAATGAAATATCAGAGGATTTTTGATCCGGGCCTCGAGTTCAAAATGCTTCTATGGTAACTTGAGACATAGTGCTTATGAGAATGTGAAGAAAAAACACTTGGTAAGCAATGGGGCCTGTGTACCTGTCTAAATTTGCTGACTGCTAGGAAAACCAGACACTAGACGAGAAGAGGATAGAATACGCTGAAATCACAGTTGGAAAAACCATTGAAAGTATGCAATATTTAACACACAGCTAATGTGGTTTGTCTGGCTCCATAACAAACCTCTGTTTGAATTAAAATAAGTAACAAATGAAAGATAAAAAACAATTATAGAACTGGCCAAAAAGAAAAAAAAAGTGAAACACAAACAAAAAACTGCATGTAAACTACTTCCCTTTTTTTAGAAAAAAACAAATCTTTCTGAAATATGCAACATCACAATGACTTTCTGCGAAGGTGATCCATTAGCTGACGACTGCATTTTGGAATGGATGTGGTCGGGATTCCACATAAATGCTGCAACATCGTGGCCACCATGACGGCCACTGACTAAAGTGAGTAGAAAGAAGGGCAGTCAGTACACATGCCCCTCTGTGAATCCAGATGGACTTTTACTAAAATTATAGTTAGTTTAAAAGCTTAAAAGTCAACATGAAATGTGTGCCTGGTAGTCACCTCTATAAAATAAACCATGTTAGAACGAGACTTTAAAAAAAAAAAAAAAAGGCTATTTTTGCTGGAAACACCCCAAACACGTTAGACGGCAGTCTAAGCTGAAGATTTGGAACCTAGGGTTAAGGGTTGCAGACACTAGATAGATAACTGATTAAAAGTTTATATTAAGGCAAATAAAAGTAATTGCTAGGAAGCAATTAAAATGTCCCTTGTTTATCTACAGGAGAGGAGGGCTGCTCTGGGTGTACTCAGCTGTTCTCGATTTTGAACAAATGAGGATGGTCCATAGTGTACAGTAACTCCAGAGTCTGTTGCTTTGGCCTAGCTCAGCCCATCGGGCTTCAGCATCCAGCGGGGTGACCAACAGGTGGACGAGAGCACAATCAGACAGGAGTGGGCTGCCTCGTCCGCTCCTCCTAGCCCTCTGCCAGCACAAAGACAGACTGGATGCACAGGGTTTGCAAGAACTCGGCGTCTTGGCTTTTCTGTGTCTGAGAAGAAAACTAAGTGCTTGTCTTGCCTTTGGGGATCAAAAAGAACCATACTGACTTCCTTGGAATAGGGGGTCCTTTTTCCTCAGTTCTGGTCCTAATCCTGCGATTTGTGAGCCCCTCACAGGGACTTTCCTTCTGGGTCAGGTCAACCCCAGCAGATATTGGAGGGATTGTATCAGCTTCATAAGCACAGTGGAAGGCTGGCTCTTGTCCAGGGAGGGCCGTGGCAGGCCTGGCTACATGGCCTCAGGGCTTGGTGGCAGTTTGAAGAGTCTGGCTGCGGATAGCAGCTTCCTTATGTGTCGCTCCTCGGTGATGCCGGCCTCCTGAAGGCAAGTGTGGGACAGGGAAGGCACTTGGCTCAGCATGCTGAACCCTGCGTCAGAAAGGGTGCTGGTGTACATGGGCAGGCCAATGGAAATGAGCCAATCCGACATGGATGCGACACATCCCGGAGAGAGGGGCTTTCTGCAGATTTCCGTGAGCCCACCACTTGGGATCTGGGTAAATAAGAAAAGCCATGTCATGAAGAATGCACAGGTACCGTGAGAGGGTGACTTTTTGTATGACTAAAGGGGACAGTACTGAGCTACGCTACGCTAAGAGATGTCAAACATTAAGAATTCTTTGCAAAAATGAAAAAAAAAAAGATTTTTAAGGAATTATTCTAAAAGATTCCAGAAGGAATCTGGGATTAGATCAAATCCCAATTATGTGTGTAAGGCTCCAAGCTGTAGGCATTTACATATATCCTGTTATTTTTGTCTCCACGAAATCCTTTGACTAAAGTGAACTGCAGAGACAAAGCTGTACGAACAGGTTGAAAAGGATGCTCAATGGGAAAGGGTTTTTATAAAGTGTGTTTTCTACCATATTTTGACCCTGTATTAACAACCAGAAAATTAAATATTTAAATGTACACGGTCAACCAACAATTTAAAATATAATAATATCAAGAGTTGACTAGGGCAGAGAAACGGACGTTAAAACCTGATTGTTAGGTACATAAAAGGCTTCTTTCAGAAGATGTGCAGGGTATAAAAGACCACACAATTTTGTATAATTGTGCATGTACTCATATTCAAGAAAGTGCACATGATATGCATGGAAGCCAGAGGGCAGAGGTCAACCTTCCATGTCCTTACTTAGGAGCTGTTCATCTCAAACAGAGCTTCTAGCTTTCATTTGGAACTGGCTGACTCAGCTAGGCTGGGTGAGCTCCGGAGATCCAGTGAGCTCCAGAGATCCGCTTGTCTTTGCCTCCCCAGTCACACACAGGATTATAAGCGTGGGCCATGATACCTAGATTCTTTTCCCACGGGTTCTGGAGATAAGACCTGGGTCCCCAGACTTGAGTTTTTTTTGCTCGCTGGCCATCTCTCCAGCCCTGATTTTATATCATCTTGGTGACGCAAACTCTCATGAAAGAATAAAAATCCTCAGCTATTATTGGAAAGCCCATAGATAATGTGTTTTTAAAATGTGCTTTTCACTACACCATTTAAAATAAAAAGCTAGGGGAAAAAGACCCTAAACATTTATTGATATGTAATTGGCTAAGCCACAGAATAGTCACTTAAAAAAAAAACAAAAAACCTTGAGATCTTGATAAGAAAAATATTTTACTAAAACAGATTCATGATCTCATAAGTAAAAATGAGGTTTAGAGCTGCACATTTACTAGTTTACATGTGCACAGAAATGACTAGTTTAAAACTGAGAAGTAGAAGTTTTATATACTTAGGACATACAGCATGGTGTTTTGAGAAAGGCAGATACCATACAATATCTAAGTCAAACTTAACAGGCATAAATTCCTCCCTAGTCCATACAGCTTTCTCTCATCTAAGAATAAAGATGCCTAACATCTTCCAAGCATGTAACACACTGATGCCAACTGCAGTTTTCAAGGGATGCACACAGATCTGAACTTATTCCTCTTATTTAACTAAAATTGTATTAGCCTGAGCATCCGACCATGATGCCTGCAATCCCAGAGTTCAAGAGGCTGAGGCAGGAGAATCACAAATTGAAGGCTAACCTGAACTATACAGTGAGACCATGCCCAGATAGATGATTGATTGATTGATTGATTGATTGATAGATAGATAGATAGATAGATAGATAGATAGATAGATAGATAGATAGATAGATAAGATATAAAAGTAACAGGCTGGTAGTGTAGCTCAGTAGTAGAGTCCTTTTCCAGCATGTATAAAATCCCGAAAAACAAAATCATTATTATTTCCTCCCCAGGTGCCTCTTCCTAGGGTTCTAGCAAGCCCTTGTGCTGTTAACACTTGTCAGTCATGGTCTTGGAACTAAATGTACCGCGTACAAAGCTATGGCTTCCTCCCCCAAAATGTGGGTTGCTCACCGCCATCCGATGCTGCTTCCGAAGCAGCTTCACCCGGATCTGGTCCATATTGGTGGCAACATCCCTCTCAGGCTGATCTAAGTCCTCAGCATATCTCTGCACCAGAGCTTCAGGGATCCCACAACGGCCATGCTGCCAGGGGAAAGAGAAGTGTGGCGTGAATGGCGGTACAGACATTTCCCCCACCTAAGTACCAGCAAACGTTAAGGCTTAGCTATCAGAAAATAGCACCAAGAGTTAGTTCAATTTATTATTGGGACGGACCCTTGAAAAGGAGCATGCTTATATCTTCCTCTTCCAGACACCAATAAGCTCTTAATATTTCAGAACATAATTAAGGCGACACAATCCTGTATTTTTCAGGCCAATGCCTTAAACTCGTTTTACAAAATTCAATTCCTTAGTGCGGTTGAACATGGTCGTCTCCTAATCTGTGGAAAGCCAAGCCATTACTCTACAGATACTATTTGCCCTTCATCTGAGAATGGCACCATTATATCACCAGGCCACAATTACCATACAATTCTCCTTATTTCCTTCAAAGGTACAGTCATGAAGTATCAAAGAGGAGGGGGGGGAGGAAGAGGGAGGTGTTCTTAGGAGGTACTCATGATCATAAGAATTTAATAACAAGGGCTCTTGGGAACACATTATAACAGAAGATGCATTTCCCGAAGGAAAGTATAGCCACTTCTAATATCACCGATTTGCCTTCAAAGTCGCTTTGGTGTCGGTACCCTTATTCCTGTCTCTGTTCAGATGAGAACTCTATTTCATTATAGACAGAAATGCTTTTGGTGCATCAGGGGTTTTCCTATCATGCCTCCTGCCCTGTCGTGTACAGATAATCATATAATTGCCGGAGTCCACCACAACAGGGCACAGAACTGTTCACTCCACAGTTTTCTATCTATGTTCCCATGAATGGTTTTGCTTACAGCAATCTCTCTGTGAGCGGATAATACAGGTTATTTGAAACCCCAGCTGAACGACACAGAAAGGAACACACAACCTGCTGTGGGCTATGCACCCAAGCTGCGGTCTCCCTTGCCCATTACACCATCCCATTAGGGACCAGCTCTTGTACTAATGGTGCTCCCTGGAAAGCAAGGGGACAAAAAAACCAGGAAGCTGCATTTGTATTTAATCCAGGGGTAGGGGGGTATACTTGCAGCTCACAGAGGCCATAAGTAGACTGTGTCATGCTGTCTGCACAGCCCTCTGTGGCTGCGGCCTTCCCCTTACCTGGCTCTCATCTGAGAAAAACAAGTCAGAGGCTCTGAGGCCCAGGCCTTGGATACCTTATCAGAGTAGGGCTCCTCAGTGAGATCAATGCCCTCGGCCTGCAGCTTGTTCTCCGTGAGCATCTCCAGGTCCACGCCCCGGACGCAGGAAACCTTCCTGCTCAGCACTGGGCCCAGCTTCACACCATGCTCTTGCAGGCTGGTGCTCTCGGGCAGCTCCGCCAGCCAGGGTGGAGGTCTTGCACAGGATGGGCTGCCAGGCTCGGCCCCCAAGGGAGGCCTGGGCTCCCGGAGAGAGGGGCAGTCACAGGGGCTGGCGGGGCTGGCGGGGCTGGCCGGGCTGGTCTTCTTCAGCGGCAGGGTGGGCGCCTCTAGGCTGGGGACCAGGTGCAGGCCATTGGCCAGACGTTCTCGACTCTTCTTGGCAGGCACAGGCGGGGGCTGCGACGGATGTCTGGGCTGCGTCCTGGTCTCCGGGGCGCTCTGCTCCCCATCTGTCCCTTCTTTGGTGCCCAGGGGGTGGTGGTCATGTCCTTTTCTGTGACCCTCAAGAGACGTCCTTGTTAAGCCGGGTTTAACTGGAGGCTGAGCCTCGAAATTTCTGGGTACACACTGAGGAGGAGATATGCCAAGGTTAGAGGCCACTGCGGATCCATCCAGTTTCTTAGCCATCATTTTCGGGGGCTCAGAAAATCTCTTGCTTTGAGTCGGAAGCATCCCGTCTTCCGCAGTAGGACCTCGGCCTCGGGGTAGAGCCTCGGAGGTGCAGGCAGATGTCTTCTGTGGCACTTCTGGTACATTCTGAGGACAGACGTCCTGCACCTCGCTGGGCACATCCTTGCCAGCACCAGCATCTCCCTGAAGGTCATCCAGGGAATGGGATCGGGGCCAACTCTCCACTGGCTGAGGGCCCTCCAAGGTTTCACAGCTGCGACAGATGGAGACCGGGAGGCTCCTTCGGTTTTTATTCACACCAGTCGCACAGGGCACATCACAGCGCTTGGCAGTGTCCGGGGCTAGACCTCGTCCCAGCCTGCTCTCCTCTCCCGGCTTGCGGACCTCCACTGATTTTGTTAAAGGCAATGTTGGGTAATTGCCTGGCTGACTCCTGTTGAAAGACTTTAAGTTGGAGTCTGTGGATGACTTGGTAGCCAGAATGCTGAGTTTTTGAGTTTTGCCTGTGAGAGAAAGAGATATTTTACAACCACGTTATAGAGTCAGTGAAATTGATGCACAAACCTGGGCTAGGAGACATAATTCCTGTGTCAACAAAACCGTCACTGAAAAATGTGGGGTTATTAGGGACCCGTTTTTATTTTTATAAAGAACTCTAGTCTCATTAAAGGACTTATATAGATGAAAACTAATTTGTTATGTGGAAAAGAAACGCTGTGTCTAGTAGAAGAAGCCTAGGGTTAATGTCTATTCCAAGCTGCATTCGGTATAGAAGGCTGATTGGCTATGCACGCCCTGCTCAGAAACCAAACCATAAGATCTGTTTGGTGGCTTGACTTTCTGAAGTCATGGTTGTACCGATGTCTTAGACTAGGTTTTATGAATGGTACCCACGAAAGGGTGCTCCAGACAAAACGAAACACTCAAATCATTCTTTCCTTGAAGCTGCTCTACTTGAATATATTTACCCAGAAACAACGAGGCAACTTGGATACAGACCAGTATCAAACAAGCTGAAAGGAGTGCTTTGCCCAAGGAGCACCCGCAAAATACTTACTCGGATGCTTCTAGCGCGGCAACTGTCCTGATCACAACGACCCACCAGCTTGCAGGCTGAACTGTCAGCCAGACATAACCTATTAATTTGATCGCTCTTGACTAATATTTACTGTGACAGCTACTGTGTGACAAGCTTTACTGGGAACAAGCTGTGACCAGGTAGGCATGTGTGTAGACACCGGCAAGCTCATGCTCACTGACTACGTAGGCACAGGTAAGCTCAAGTTCACTGACCATGTAGGCATGTGTGTAAACACAGGCAAGCTCATGCTCACTGACTATGTAGGCACAGGTAAGCTCAAGTTCACTGACCAGGTAGGCATGTGTGTAGACACAGGCAAGCTCATGCTCACTGACTATGTAGGCACAGGTAAGCTCAAGTTCACTGACCAGGTAGGCATGTGTGTAGACACAGGCAAGCTCATGCTCACTGACTATGTAGGCACAGGTAAGCTCAAGTTCACTGACCAGGTAGGCATGTGTGTAGACACAGGCAAGCTCATGCTCACTGACTATGTAGGCACAGGTAAGCTCAAGTTCACTGACCAGGTAGGCATGTGTGTAGACACAGGCAAGCTCATGCTCACTGACTATGTAGGCACAGGTAAGCTCAAGTTCACTGACCATGTAGGCATGTGTGTAGACACAGGCAAGCTCATGCTCACTGACTACGTAGGCATGTGTGTAGCACAGGCAAGCTCACACTTATGCATGCATACACATATCAATGGTGTTTTGACTCCTCTTGGATAATAACCGCCGCGTCCCTGGTAGCTGGTCTGATAAACCTGAGAATACTCCAGGTAACAGAACATCTGAGCCAGGTGACTATGTTACTCTAGAAAAGGATAAGAACCCCACAAATCTTTGGTCGGCTTGGAAGGTACAAAGAAACAGCTGTGTCTAATCACTGAAAAGCTAGTAAGTTGTTAATATAACGAAGAGGGTTTCCCCCCTAACCTATTAGTAAACATCCTGAATTCAGTATTTTGATTTAGAATTCTGAAGGTCCCCTTTAAGCAATATCACCCTTTCAATGTAATACACAAAGAGCAGCGGGGGGAAATCAGGCTATGGACCGATTTGATAAGGAGGGTAAGAAAATGGGTCGGATGGTGTCCACTCTATAAGGGAAATAGCTGCTTTAGGGCAAATGGAAGGCATTCTTTTTTTTTTTTTTTTTTTTTTTTTATCAATCTCTATGTGAGGCAGCATAAATGAAAGAAATGGAATAGAAAGAAAGGCCTGGGGCTCTTACATTACAAGTGGCTTAGCCTTCGTCAGCAGGGAGAAAAAGGGTTTCCGTCCATGATTTCACTGCTTTCTAAGCTTACTCAAACCTCGAACTGATAATATGAAGTGGTTCATGCCCAGCATAACTGCAAGCCCCGAGGCTGGCAAATGAGAACAGTGCTCTCCTCAATTGGACTTTTTATTAATGAGGCCATCCTTTTGGATAAGGCCCAAATCAGCATATGAAATATTTTACATCCCATGAAGCAGAGGCCTGGCCAAACAGCATGTGTCCTCTACGAAGAGGTTCATACTGTACACCCTGTCCCACCTGGATTTCTACGCTGTTCAACAGCAGCACACGAGCCCCTTAATAAGTTGCTATACTGTTGATTCATGGAGATAATGGCTTACTGTGACTACTGAACATACCCGCTACCATCCCATTTCTCAATAACAGGAATTACCACAGCTAAATGGAAAAGGGAAATACTTCAGAGAGCACATCATATGAAAGCTTAAAAGTCAGTTGAAATAGAAAACTCTTAAAATTCATTGAGCGCAAGTTTTGGAAATATGTTTTCTTCTCATTACATCCCAAAATAAACCGTATGTATCAATGCCAGGTTCAATTCTGCTTCCTATAGAAAGAGCCCTGAGTTCCCCTGAAATCCAAGCAAGGTTCACCAGTTTATTTAATCCAGTTCTTCAACAGGCATACCTAAATTATTCTGGGCATTAACCCCTATGGCAGGGTTATCTTTCTTTCCTGACTTATCCATCCAGTACTGCTGGGGTTAATTTACCAGACTGCTTTAGCTATAGAAAACTACTAACAGAAAAGAAAAAAGCCTTCCAGACCTACCCAAGGATTTGCTGTTGGCTAAAAACGGCACAGTGCTGGGTTCCTGGATGGGTGTGCATTGCATTTTGACCAAGGCTATCATCTAAATGTTAAGCACCAGAAGACCCGCTTATCTTCCTAAATTGATAGAACATTCTGGGTAGCAGAGCTTATGGGTAAATTTCTAAGTTCCCATGATGTTCATCAGAATCGACATCAGTGTGAGGTAGGTAAGATGCCCACGGTGCCGATGCAGAGGTGGGGTTACTCTAAGAATATGGTTGGTAACTGGGAGTAAGTTCTTCATGAGACTTTGAACCCAAGCATTTATTTGCCTTATCTTAGAATTGGTTTGGGTGCCCCAAAATAACTCTCTCATACTATTTGTTTTTAAGCATGATTTACATTAAGAAACACATTTTATGTCTACCATCTAACAGGCACATATGAAGCAAAGATTATAGTAATACTACTAATGATTCTAAGCCTTACCCTGTGGAATATGTTGATTTCTACTGCATCCTAGAAAACTGTTATCCATGGGTCACTAAATTGATTTCACAACCCACTAACAAACTGCAACCTGGAGTTTAAGATGGCTTGCTTCAATAAATGTTAAGAAATAGCCTAAACTTGTTACTACTGGATGAGAATCCCAATAGCTGCTATATGCTGTGGAACCTGGGTATGTTGCCAATATAAATGTTCAATGGAGATTTAGGTCATGGCGGCCACATGACCCCTTTACTACTCTTTCTGATCTTATAATGGGAATTTGGGGAACACAACAGGAAGACACAGGGTCACCTGCTGTGCCATTTACCCTGTCTGTCTTATTCTGCTTAAGACCTTGGTTCTGCATGGAGGAGGCTTAAGAGTTTCATATTGACTGCTTTCCAACTGTTAAGAGAGAGAAGCCACAAATAAGACATGTGGCCTTCTAGTCACCCTCTCTAGGGGTAATTGCCTCTGGAATCAGGCTTTGCAGCTACAACATATAAGACATGGCTACCAGGGTATCCTTGATGGATAGTCTACCTGGTAAATTGTTTTCCTTATGGGCCTAATCATTCCCAGCAATGAGATGCTGGTGGTTACTATGTGAAGGAAAGGGCACAGGAGATGCAAAATTTAGGCTTTATGGCTGCGGGGATTTTAGACAGAGTTTATAAACTTCACGCAGCAGCCAGGAGGAATAAGCACAGATATTAACTTGAGAGCAGTAGGGGGCAGGACGAGGCCAGAAATGGAAAGATGACCAGTGGCTTCACTGGCATATAAGAATTGAGTCTTTGGAGATAGTATTGTTCCACATTTGAAACTGGAAATTGTCGGAGCGTGTTCTGGTGGTTGGAGCAAACATTACCATTTTCCAAGTTCTCGCTGCTTTCGTAGCAACCAGAGTCTCGTGGGGAACATCCACTCAGGCCTTGGCTATCCACCAGCAGCTTCTCCTGGGACCCAGACTGGTCACTGTTACCTGGAGATGAACACACAGCGTGGTGTCACAAGGAGCCCCCAAGTCAGCCAGATTTTTTTACCCTTTGCTACCGAAACCCATGTTTAAGCTTAACTACAATAAAAATGAGCTAATGCCATTGGAACACTTCTCTTTCAAGTAATGTATTCACCATGTGAAAATGAAGTTAGTAAGAGAGGCCAGGGTTGAAATATGCTGATGCCTCTGATGCCTCTCAAGCTATCCAAATAGAGGCAGACTGAAGCTGTAGGGGGGGGGGGGGTGGAGGTGGGGATACAGAGTGTGGTATTGGCAAGGAGGAGGGCACTGATGAATGACGGAGCTATCGGTGAGAAGGAGTGTGAGTGAGTGAATAAGGCTTTCATTAAAGTAGATAGGGTCAAGTGCTTTTTCAGGCACCTGGAAGATTTTGAACTTCAAGTCATTTATGTTATGGGCTCTTCAAATTTGGGAGCTGATATAAAAGTGTCAAATGAAATATTGCTTTATTAGCATTGGAGAATATTGCTGGCCTGTGGTAACAATATTGCCACCTGTTGTATCGTCTCAGCCAGAGGAAGCCTGGTGAGAGAAGAGACCCCTGCATGAAGAGGAACAGATCTTTGTCTTTCGGAGTGTTGAAGGTTTCGGTTCTTTTGACCCTTCTCGCTCTGCCTTGGGCAAGCATTTCTAGTCCCTGCATCCAGAGTGAGGAAAGTGTTCAGGAGACCCTCTGACTGGCAAATGGAACAGTCCCAGCATGAACAACCCATCCAAAAAAAGCATCATTATTTATCAATCAGAATCCAGTAAGGGTAGGGGGGAAAAATCAGGTGACAAGCTAACTATGTTGTTTTAGGAAGTCTCCCTCGAGTAATGCACATGGGAAACCATGTGAGTTTTCAATTCCCAGGCAGTATCACTCAGTGTTTTCTATAGAGGGAGCCCGGGGGAGGCAGGCCACTGAGGTTTCACACAGAGCATCTTCAGATAATTATGTGGAGAAAGTACTTGGTCACACAAAACGGAAACCAAGAGAACATTTTCTACATAAATAGCTAGTCTCAAAGACAAATGGCTTTAATTTATTTTTCTTTCTCTTTGCCTCTCACCTGCCCACAACAACTACACACACGGAGAAAAAAAGAAAGAGAAATCAATAAACCAGAACTATGACGCCTTTTCGCAGGCCATCAAGATAAATGTGTGGGGAGGCTGAGGGCTACCATGCCAGGCATGTGCCGGTGGGTTCCCAGAATTCCCTTTACACTTCCTGTTTGTGTTTCTCAAAGGGAAAACATTCTATAACAAGTATGATGCCAAAGAGGATGTCAGAACACGTTCTTAAATTATAGCCCCAAAGAGTGCTAATTATCAAACAATGATTGAAGTACATGAGCAAATACCGCACCCCCCCCCCCACACACACACACACACACCACCACCACCACCACCAGACAACCTCAAACTGGAACATTCTACAGTGATGTTCTCATCCTGTGGAAGACTGTGGATTTGGACTACCCTTTGTTCTGGTCTAGCATGCTATTTAGAAAAATGATACTTGTAAATGAGGGCTTAGAGCTGTCCTTGACTGCCCAGGAAGAGGGATCACTCATCTGTCCCCGGGTGCCAACAGTTCAGTGTACCAGAGCAACAAAACAGAGTGCTGAGTGCCACCAGAGCATCGACAAGAGAAAGCACGATCCCTGCCGCTGTTGAGAAGTGCATCCTGGGACCCATCCCGGCCTTACCAGGCACTACCGAATCCTGTTCTTACAGAAAAGGAAAGGATCTCTCCCGTGCCTGAGAACCATGGTGCAGTTTACAGTCATGTGGGGCACATATGACAAGGGGCTAGAGCACAATATTCACAAGAAGGGAAGAGGGAGGGAGGTGACTCCCTGTGTCTAGACTTCTCTCCCACACTTCCTAGCATCCATGCCAACAGAGGGAAGACTCAGGACCACGAGGAAGATGCCCATTGTCAGTCAGACAAGATCAAAAGGGCTGGAAGCTCATTTGGTCACACCCTGAAGAGACTCAGAATTCATGGTCTACAGGTCTCTCCCCTGCTCGACCTACTCACACAGGTGAGCAGACTACAAAGACACCAAGGCCCTCCAACGTCAAAAGCAATTGCACACCACTTTCTAGAGAGCAGTTTTCTGGGGAAGAAGGGGAGGACATAGGGTTCCCGGAGGAGCCCCTTCAAAGGGTTTACAGTACTTCCTACAGGGCAGACTGTTCCCTGCCACTGAATTCAGGAAGTGCTTGTGCACACATCTGTTTTATTTTTTCTGTGCTTCCTGCATACTTCAAATAACCTTTAATTAGGAGGCTTATAAAAATGAACACCTGCCTTCTTTCAGTCAGGGTCTCTCTCCGTAGCCCAGGCTAGCCTGGGACTTTCAGTAATTCTGCCCTACCTGCTTCAACAGTCACTTCCCTAGGAAGCAGCGAGCTGAGACTGCAGCTGTGAGCTACCATATCCAGCTCCAAAGGACTGTTTCTATTGGGCTGTACACCCAGCAGTGGCTAAGCAGCAAACTCTATGGCATATGTATTTTACTACAATTTTTTTTTTTCATTCAGAGGACCTAAAAGAGTATAAGGAAGAGTGAGCTGGCAATCTTCTCCAAATGGAAGGCTGACTACAGGCCACTTTTCCTCATCTCTTGGGAGACACAGGATGAGTCTGCCCTCCAAGCGATACTAGAGATGTACTTGTTAATTTTGGTGGAAGTGTGAGCTAGAACACTTCAAGACGTTCCCACGTATCTTCGGGAACCTTACTAGCTCTTGACTGCATACAAACCGAGTTTGGCAGAACGCGACTGTGTCTCTCCAAGCGACTGAGGTCCTTGGAGGGAGATTTTCTTAATTACAATGAATTTAACTGCACTGGATGGAAAGTCTTACATCACTAGGCTACATCTGGATGTGACCTCTCAACACTAATTAGAACCGCTGAGCCCCGAAGCCTTTACTTCAAGATCAATAAGAGGAGATACTGTTTTATGTATCAGAGAAACTGCAAACAATGGAAACCTATAGACCCAAAATGGAATTTAGGAAGAAACAAAGAGTCCGTCTGAGCCTTCCAAGTTAGCATCATGGTGAATAAAGATATCCTATAAAATGATTCTGTTACAAATCTTAGGATATGAGCCTAGAAATGGGTCTGAGCCAACGAGCTATGTCAAACTAGGCTCAGATCCCTGCCGATATGCAAGATTTAGCTTTGCTCTTCTGACATCTCAATGAAACAGGAAATGTAATGGATGATGTATATAAGCCAGCTGTCCTCCATGGTTGCGGAAGAGTAAATGACATATAATACAGAGCAGATGTGGTCGAGAGGAACACATGGTTCAATTTTAATTCATACTGATGGAGCAGGTCAGCCATACCAGTCTCTACACAGGCTGTTCACACACAACCTGGCTGGAGACTCCAGGGTATCTCTAGAGGGTCAAATGCTACAGAGACCTGGTCACAAGACACCACAGCAGGAAACAGGACCCTTCCCAAGTCTAGACCTGAAGGCTGCCTGTTTACCTTGTGTATTAGTTACTTTTTCTGATACTGCAACACATACTCTGATAAAGACAGAGTTTATTTGGGTTTTAGGGGGCAAAGTGTGGCTGCAGGTGCTTGCGCAGCTGGTCACGTGGCAGTCACGGTCAGCAGGCAGACAGAGATGAATGTTAATACACAGTTCACATTCTCCTCTGTTGAGTCCAGGATCTCAGCCCATGCAATGGTGACAACCCACAGCAATGGTGGGTCTTTCCCCATCAATGAAGCTCATCTACCCAATCCTGCACAGGCATGCTCCAAAGCTAATTTATTCTAGGTAATTTCCCCATGGATGTGTCCAAAGGCTTGTCTCCAAAGTGATCTCAAGCTGACATCTACTAAGGTTCAGACTTCTTTTGATAGCTTTCCTTTATGTTACTGGTGAATTTAAAGAGTGAATTTACTGACATGGTTGCTTCCTTTTCTCCTGGGTCTTAGGCATCCAGTAAATACAAATGTTCCTCAGTTTACAATAGTGTGCTTGGATAGTACTAAGCTAAAATGCACTTAATATCCCTAATCCACTGAACATCCTATTCAGCAATCTGGGACGGCGCAGAGTGTGAGCTGCATCGTGGTCTCAGAGCTGACCAGGGGTCCACAGCGCTTGCTCAACACTGACAGTGTGCAGACTGCACATTGTTCACCTATGAAAAGAACAGGATTCAAAATTCGAAGTACAGTTCCTACCAACTGTGTATTGCTCTTTCGGTATCAGAAAAGCAAGAAAATTCTGAGCCAGGGACCATTTATGATGTGTAATTCTCCCCCATCATTAACCAGGGTTTTGGGATGTCTTGCAGGGGTAGAAATCCATTAGCTACTGGTCCCCTGGAAGCAGAACATGGAAAGAAAATGCACTTGAATTCAAGAACTGGGAAGGCTACTTCCTCCATGACGAATAATTTCAAGAATTTTTTTTTTAATGTCAGACTGAAGAATAAAGGACAGGATAAGCCTGGCTTTACAGAGCAACAGCAATGGACAGCAATAAAAACTGTCAGCGCTCTGAACTCTGATCACAGGTTATAAAAATAAGCTCTTATATTTAGTTTGGGAATTCCTGCCCCACATACTCATTTCAGAGAGGCATTTCCTTCTTTAACGGAAACTGATGGGTTGACTTATTCACTAATAAGCCTATTCAGTAAGAAAAAAATCAGACCCTTAGATGGGCAAAGAGACTTGCAGGTCATTGGCCATTTTGTTATTGTTGTTGTTGTTTTGTTTTCTTACTGAGGGATGTTCACTGACCTGCTGAAGGCTGTACATTCCAACAAGAACAAGGTAGAGCCTGCTGGTCCTTGAGGAAGGCCCTGGTGCAGCATTCTTCCTGCACCACACTGACAGGCATGTCTGCCCTGTAAACTATCTTGTTATAATAGGAAATTAACCTTGGCTTTGGAAAGAACGAGATCGACTGAGTGACTCCAGGGACCCTAAGCACATGATGAGAGCTTATGTGAGGCCTGTTGGTGACAATACTAATCATAATGATGATGGTAATGTTCATCTAGCAGTGTGTGTGTGTGTGTGTGTGTGTGTGTCTGTGTGTCTGTCTGTCTGTGTATGAACTTACTGTCGTATTCCTGTAGCAGCTCCACTGCCGTTAAGAGAACTGCTCTGTGTTCTGGGTCCCTGATGTTTAACTCATCTAAGTCTTCTTCCTCCAGGAGCTTGAAAGTGTCCAGGTCTTCATAGCCATTGAACAAGAAAGTGGGCATGTGTTCCTGTAAGACAGAGCAAGAAGATCAAAGCGAGTCCATGGCCCAGCCATGTGACGCATGTCCAAAAACTAGCCTGAGACCCCTCAGACTTCTTCCCATAATAATATGTATGCTAATCGAGAGATGAGTATCATCTGTAATATATTCTGTGGCTCACAGTCTTCTGGCTTAGCAGGCAGATAGGGGTGGATGGGTTCACTCACTGATGGTTTAGGAAGATACCTAGGTATCTGCTGCATGCTGTGGTGGATCCAACTTGCTATCATTGCCATTGTGCCCTAGATAGGAACTAATTCCTTTATCACCACATGGCCCATGGTGAGGACTCCTTTTACATTTGGAGGGCTTATTAAAATCCAACTTAGGAAAACCTATGAATTTCTCAGGAGCAAGATGTTTTTGTAAGTGGAAAACCAGAATCTACCACTGGAGACATCCTCTTCTAGAAGATGCTGGGAGTTACAGCTAGGGAGGGGTAAGAAGGCCTCATGGTCCCATGGAGGTGGCTGTGAGCAGAATACTGAGAGAGAGTTTATGCTATCAGCCTCAGTAGATAGAGGTCAAGGCAACATTAGACTATTGGTAACTATTCTTATAGAATACTCATAGTATTAATGAGTCACACTTGCCAGATGACAGAGATCACTTGCCCAGTTTAAGAATAAGAACTCAGCCGGGCGGTGGTGGCGCACGCCTTTAATCCCAGCACTCGGGAGGCAGAGCCAGGCGGATCTCTGTGAGTTCGAGGCCAGCCTGGGCTACCAAGTGAGTTCCAGGAAAGGCGCAAAGCTACTCAGAGAAACCCTGTCTCGAAAAACCAAAAAAAAAAAAAAAAAAAAAAGAATAAGAACTCGTCAGTATATGACGAGAATAACAAGGGACTGACTTTCAGGTTGATCCGGTCCAGGAGATCCTCCACAGACTTGGGCTGGGGTGGTCTTCCCTTCCTCCTCCTCCGGGCAGGACGTTTGGGCTTCTCCTCTTCCTCATTGAGCACATCCACATAGATGAACTTGAACGTGCCGACTTTGTTGTTCAACAGGCCCATCCAGGTACCCATGGGTGGCTTGCTGATTATATCAATGATATCTCCTTTCTGCGGCCCAGGGAACAAAGGTCTTGCCATTAGGCACATTTCTAAGCACGAGCAATGACATAATTCAGATAAGCTGGGGAAATTCAACAAAATCGGGATCAGAAGCCCACGGGTTGAGTCAGCTTCCTCCTTAAATTTTGTGCGTGTTTGTGTGTATGGGCCATGCACGTAGGTGGGCGTGAGTGTGTGCACACGTGTATGTGGAGACCAGAGGTAAATGTCCAGTCGTTTTTTCCATTGCGTTCCCTCTTATGTTTGAGACAGGGACTCTCACTGAATCTAGATTTCATCAGTCGGCTAGACTGACTGGCCAGTGAACTCCAGGGGTTGGTCCACCTGTCTCTGTACCCACAGTACTGGTTTTGCAGGGGTGCAAAACCATACCCAGCTTTCACACAGGTGCTGGCGATACGAACTCTCATGCTTTGGGCAGCAAGCATGTTACTGACTGGGCCGCCACTCCGGCTCCACGGGTCACTGTTCCGAACGGCTGAGACAGGATTATGACGGGGAGCTTGGCAGAGGGCAGGCAGAGCGTTTCTAACCGTGCTCGATGCGACGCTGACCCCAGGTCACAACCTTCCCTGCCTCCTGCTCTGCAGGGTCAAGTGGGCGGGCCTTGGCTGTCACTCACGCTCTTAGACTGCCTACCTCAGCTCTTGGAACAGCACCCTACTCCTGAAGGAAGAGTTTGTCACCAGTCTCAAGAGGGTGTCCCCTAACCTGTGACCACGTCCTATACTAGGTCGAACTGCATCTTAGGGGCCCCCATAAACATCTCTGTGCACACACACAGCAGCTATTCCCTTCAGATAAAGGAAGCATAGAAGGAAGGGCATGAGAGTTCTAGAAGGACTCCGGGGTCAAAGGGTAGCGCCAGGGAGGAAGTGGTGGTAACCGAGAGCTAATGCACATCTTCCTCATTCTTGACCACTATCTGGTTCTATTTTATTCTCACTATAAAGGAGACCAATGGGGGTCAGGGTGGCCAAAACATGGTCGAGTCTGTATGCTAAGAGTCCCGGCACCCAATGTCAGGGAAGAAAGAAACCCTTCCCAAGAGACAAGACAGCCTGGGTTAGCTGTCCAAGACCAAGCACAAGCCTACCTTGAGCTTCAGAGAGTCTGTGTCATAAGGACTAGGGGTGAAGTCAGTGTGCACGCGGGCACGCCCACAGAAGGGACCCCGGTAGGGTGGTTCTTCATCATCTCCATCTTCTGACTTGACGCTCTCCCTGTTGCTGGTGGAGGAATCAGTGGTGCTCACCGTCTGGCCACCTGCGCAGGGAGGACAGGAAGAAGAAGGATAAGCACAGCCTTCCCAAGTGGGAAAGATGAAAGGTACCAGTAGTACTGTGTATCAGAAAAGGCCCGGGATGGGAAGCTGTGAGTCACAGCATTTTACCAGTAGTACTTATTGTGTGTTAGAAAAGGCCCGGGATGGGAAGCTGTGAGCCACAGCATTTTACCAATAGTACTGTATGTTAGAAAAGGCCTGGGATGGGAAGCTGTGATCCATAGCATTTTACCAACAGTACTGTGTGTTAGAAAAGGCCTGGGATGGGAAGCTGTGAGCCACAGCATCATGACAGGACCACCGCTGGGCTGATGCGTGAGTCTTTCGACTGTCATCCTAATCCAGTTCGTAAGGTGACCGGGGTCTCGCAGCACCTTATCCTCATGGCAGGCATCCTTGGGACACTCAGGCGCAGCAGAGGATGATGCTGCAGGGCCAGGCTCTGGCCTTCGCCCACAGCACTTAGTACCTCCTTTGCACAGTCCACCATGTCTCCCGTGTATTACAGAGGAGGAAACAAACCCAGAGGTCAGGTACCTTGCCTGAGAGAGAGAGAACTTAAAGTTCTCCATTCACACTCCATCTCTTCCTCCTCACTGTTCAGTTAACACCAGCCATCCTTGGTCCTGGGATGGCTTAGCCATATTTACCAACAGGGACATTTGGAATTCTTTCCCTTGCTCAGACTCCTGTATTTTATTGGTCATCTTCATGCACTTTGACCCTTGGCTTCTTCTCTAGAAGATCCTTCCTCAGGGATGCATTTTCCACCTTCGCCAATCAAAACTTAAACACCCCCCTTCTGCACCATGGCTGGACAAATATGTAATAGCACCCTAAGGGGAGATACTCAGCCTTGCTCATCTTTAACTTGCCTTAACTTGAGGCCCAAAAATGAATGTCTGGCTGTAACTCCAAAGGGCAATCATGAACCATTGCAAGCAATACTCACTCATTGAGCTCTGGCCGCTCAGAGAACTCCGAAGACTTTCTACAGAACCCCCGGCTTTGAGCTTGGGCTTGTCCACGTGTTCAGGGTCAGGCTTTACCGAGGCAGGAGAGCTGGGCATTCCATCAAGCCCCGAGTCCTGAAAGAGTCCCAGTAGAACTGAGTTTCCCGAGTAGAAAGGTGACATTTTATAATCCTAATTTGGTCCTCAACTTCATCAGCCAAACTGATGGTCATGTCCACACTTGAACCTATGTACAATACTCTCCCTTAAAGCCTATATCCTTTTTTTTTTTTTACATTTAAGTCTGTAGCCTGTAGGACTGTTTATTAATCACTCCAAAGTTGTTTTTCAATATCAAACAGATATTCTTAAAATTCCTAGGAAAAACCCCATCTACCATCTATTAAAAACAGCTAAAGGTTTAGCAACTCAGTATACTCAGTGGCCCAGGAACAAGCTGGGTCTCAAATGCAGGGCAAATTCAAGCTACTCTTAATATTGAGAAGTACAATCAGAGGGCAGTTAATTAACTTTAATGGGAAAATATTTACATGAAGAAAAAGTGTATTTCTTAGAAACAACTTGACCAGGTTGTTTCTATTCATATAACATTGCTGAAGTAGTGACAGGCTGAAGAAGATGCTGGCGTTTGGCCACCAGGGGGCAGCAGCTGAGCAAAAATGCCTGCTGTCCCAGCGGGCTTTATTGGCTGGCTGGAGAAGCATCCCTTACCGCATTTCAAGCAGGTTATTTTAACAGGCTGCAAAGTGAGTACCTTGAAGGCGTCAGAGAAGGAGGTTTTGAAATCAAAGGTCAAAACTATCTCAAAGTTCAGACCTCCGGCGGGCGTTCTTCCTTCCACACGTGCAATTAAGACAGAACTGGACATGTTTATAACGATGAAATTTTTTTCTATAGAACCAGGGGTGAGACATCCCTTTTGTGATCTCCTACTGACGACATATGGTGTCAGTCAGAGAGACAGCCTTCTACTCCCACCCCAAATAAAAACCTGCCTGACTACTGCAATCTAGTAGCCAGAAAGTATTTTGTAGAATTCCGCTTCAGACCTGCTACATACTTTAGAACAATATATCCTACATCTAAAAAGTCAGCTAAGGACACACACACACACACACACACACACACACACACACACACACACACACACACAAATTTATTTTTGGTGCATGAGTGTTTGCATTATGTATAAGTATGTATGCATTCCACATGGGTACCTAGTACCAGCAGGGACCAGAAGAGGGCACTGGACTCCCTGGAACTGGAGTTACAGACTGTTGTGAGCCATCATGTGGGTGCTGGGAACCATACCCAGGTCCTTTGTAAGAGCAGCAATGACTCTTAACCACTGAGCCATCTCTCTAACTCCAAAGGGTGCTTTTGAAGGAGGTGTCTAGTGGTCGATAATTAATAACAAGGGTGTTTTAGAAAAGAACACCCCCCACCACCACCACACACACACACATACACCCCTTGTGCTTAAATGTATTCACTAGGTTTATTCTAGTGTGCTGACTGGACTAAGAATCGTTTTATGTGGCCTTGTCTCCTTTTGTCTGAAATGGTAGGCCTGCTGTGAGGGTTTCATCCTAATAAACTCGATAGGGTTTAGAATCACCATGGAAACGAAGCTCCAGGCATGTCTGTGATGGGTTTTCTAGATTACATTAGTTGAGGTGGGAAGACCCACCCTGAATGTGGGTGGTATCATTGCTTGGGCTGGGGTCCTGGACTGCACGGAAAGGAGAGAGGGACCTGAGCAGCAGGGTTCTTCTCTCTGTCTACCTCCTGCCAGTGGCTACAATGTGACCAGGTGACTCAAGTCACCACTTGCCTGCCGTGATGTACTGTATCTTGAAACTGTGAGCTGAAATAAAGTCCCCTCTCTTCCTTCCTTACGTTGCTTTGGTCATGTGTTTTGATGCAACCACCAGAGAAGTCACTAACACACAGGGCCTGTGTTTTGTAGTCCCAGATCTAAGAACAGTGTCTGGAAAGCCCTAACTGCGTAACCAAAGTTTCTGTAGAAAATGCCTGCTTTTTCTATACAAATACAGCCTGATCAAGTAGCTGGTTAATGCCAAGGAACACACATACACATACACACACACACACACACACACACACACACATTCATAGCACCATTCAGTAGCCCAAGTGGACCATCCTCAGCAGGAACCGGGGTCACAGCAAGATGGCTACCTACCTGCTCAGAGACAGGGCTGCTGTATTTCTTAGACATCCTCTTCCTCATTGTCTCTTTCACTGATTTCACCTTTTTCCCAAGAGAGATGCGGGAGGCGGTTGGCGATTTGATTACCTCTTTGTACACAAAATCTCCCTCTTTACCCTGCAAAACAGAGGGTAAATACCATTAGTCCTGGGAGATAAAGGCTAGAAACCGGTTCCATTACTCAAACCATTAACGTCCTAGACCTCAGAAAAAATATTAGCATTCCCCAGGATCTTCACATTTTTCTTCGGTTAACTTAAGGCTGTTATTTATCTTTGCGATTAGAAATTAAAACCTACTGAGAGGTTATTTTGTTTGCCTGTTTATACTGGGGCTTCAGGCACTTTTTATTTTATTTAATCTTAGTGCATGCTTCTCCAGTTATTTTTTTTTTCCCTACCATTTAAAAACACTTGAGGGGACTGCATTTCATTAGTGCAGAGAGATTTAGGAAGCAATGTTCAGGTAACCCCAGCAGCAGGGAAGAAGGGAGAGGCTCTAGTACTGACTCCCCCGAGGGCAGAAGGTGGGTACGAGGATGCACCAGACTACACGTGGAACACTCAGTGTGGCCAACTCCTAAGAGCATAATTTCCTTCCCTGAACAAGCTAGACTGTGGCCATCTCTCATTTTATTTTGCATTAAAAGACAAACCTTTGGAAGAAAGGATGGGGGCGGGGAGACTTCTGTGTTTTTAGAGATTGACAACAAAATTATTGGCTTATGAATCAATAAAATTTGATGCTCAAATAAAACAGCTTAAATCTTGCAGGAAATTTTGTGACACTTCATATCTCACAGATGTGTATTTTAGCTGACATAAGATCATAATAACCACAGAGCATGAAATCTTCATTTTATAGTTTCAAGGCAAAATACTTAAGGGGCCAGCAAAACCAAGTAAAACTTACCTACTCCTTTGGGGCCGGGATTTTAGGGAACTTTAACATAGTGACCTGGCCCCTGAAAATGACCCAAACGCATATCTGAGGAGACATTAACCTTGGCAATCGAGGCCCTGGTTTGCTTTGACATTAAGAAAACTGGGCTCATCTCAGGACACCTCACATGAGAAATACCCAAACTTAACAATCGGCCTTGGAGAGTCACGCACTGATCCCACACCCTTGGAGGGTCTTGCACGGATACCCACATCGCAGGGCTCCATCAGATCAGAGCCCTTGTGTGCAACTGAAACTAGCGTGAAGGGAAAGCTCAGAGGCATGGATGACTAAGGCCAATGGAGCCAAACTCATCTGTGTGTGTTACTTAAAGAACACTGGAGAAGAGGCACTAAGAACAGTGATGTTCTGAGGAGATAAGAGACCCAGGTGGCCATCGTCCGTTCCACGTGGGACAGTAGGACAGCTTCGAGATGGGGGTAACAGAGTTTCTTTGCAAATATGGTTTGGAACCACTGAGCAGAGCTGGAATCAACTCTCCGAGACACTAAAAAGGGAACTGTTGGCAGTCAGGTCATTGCAGTCTACACCGACTGCTTTTCTTCCTGGTCCACTCACCAGAGGGTCCGAATTATTACTGCCCACATGCAGAGAACGATTTGTCAGGTCGAATCCACCAAAGCTGCAAGTTCTCTGTGGAACAAGAGAGGGTGGGGTGGAAATGACCCAGTTATCCTCACGTCACAGTCCACAGTCAACCCCACACATGACCCCTGTGCCGAGCACCTCCGAGCCCACAAATACACGTACGGAATGGGAGCAGGACACGAGACGTGATGAGGGAAAAACATATGATTCGTGTCAGAGGAGACCTTCCTGATTTGGTGTTCTCACAGGTCACTGGGGGATCTGAAATTCACTTAACATGCAAAAACAATGACTCTTGAGAATTAAAAAAAAAACCTTCATAAACTCAGTGCAGGAAGAGACTCCCTCACCGCTCCGTGGTTCTTGGGAGTCCTGTGCTCTGCCAGGGAAAGCACGCTTTTCTGAACGACTCCTGGCATTTACTTTTAAACCCTCAAGGAGGGAAAAGAAGGTATGTTTATCATCATCCAGTCAGGCCAACAGGGTTAGTCACTTACGGCCCCCCTCCCCCATCCTGGCCAAAAATGATGATAAATTTCCCATCTAACTCTCAACTGAGTTAATTATAACCTTTTTTCTCACAGTGGATGACACCACATTGACTGGGTGGTGGTGGGCTGATTAAGTGTCTGTCACTGACACTTTAATTTTTAATTTTTCAGAAGGAAAAATGCTTTTGCAAAAAAAAAATGGATGAAAAGTTTTTTTAATTTTTCAGAAGGAAAAATGCTTTTGCAAAAAAAAAATGGATGAAAAGTTTATTGTACTTTTTAGATGGTTTCAAATTTTGTAGAACTACTTATATTTCCACGATTTTCTGTTTCCAGAAACTTGCATCCAATTTCTCTTGCTTTTCTAACAACAACAACAACAACAAAATCATCCGATGCCCATGCCTGTCTCCTCTTGCCAAGGCACATTAATTTTTGTTGCAGGCAATGTTTTAAAAGCAGTTGGTGAGAAACCGTGAATAGCAGATTTGTGCTTTACTGTTTTGTGTTACCTGCTGCTCAGAGACCATGCTAGCCACAGAACGGAAGGGAAGGACAGAAAAGCAGAATGCAGACTACGAACACTGCTTCTTTTAATCAGATATATTTTAGAGATGTTAATGTACTACATCGAGATAGGAGACTCAGTCTGGGAGGAAAATGATTAGGCTTTTAACATTGCACATAGATCCAACTTCTGAGTCTGCTTCTTGCTGGCTGTGTGAGCACAGCTCAGGTACTAAAACTCTCTGAGGTTAGGATTCTGAGTTGATACTCTCTACATCATATACCTGAAGACACACACACACACACACACACACACACACACACACACACACACACACACACACACACTGCTCATTCTCTACAACATATACCTGAAGACCTTAGTGTACACACACACACACACACACACACAGCTGCTTATTCTCTACATCATATACCTGAAGACCTTAGCGTGCACACACACGGCCGCTCCTAGAGCACACACTCTGGACATTTGTTTATCCTCTGATGTTTGATGTTTCACTTTAGTTCTGCTAAGAGGCTGGGAGCTCCTCTTGATGATTATGTTGCAGGTTAGGCTTAGTCAAGATTAAAAACATGCAAATGAGGGGCTGGAACTACATTCTGCGTTTTATAATCTGGGAGTTCAATAGTAAAACCAAAGCCTCTAGGAATAGGCCACAGGGAGGTGGCGGTTGTGGCACATGAGAGCAGCAGAAAAGAAGGGCATTTGGAGCCACCTACCTCTTGGCAACATTGTTGCTCTTTGCTCACTTTCCAGTGGAGGTTAGCTCAATGTTATACTAAAGATCAGCAGGTAACCTTGCTTTCTTTACAGTCAACTAGCTTTGGATCTGGGCCATAAAAAGAGAAAGGCTCCCCTATATAAAACGAATCACCAGCTCACCTAATTGGGAAGCAATATTATGGCCACTCCTCAAGACAAATTTTTAGCATTAACTTTCCCTCGTAGCTTATGGTGTCAAATGCATTTTCTCGGTTTTGCAAAGGCAGGGGACTTTATTCTAGTTCCTTTCCTGTGACTCAGGGCTTCCCAGACACGGGATGGCGCCCAGATGCCTGATCACTTTATGGCTTTTGCACGTCCCTGCTTTAAATGACAACATCTCCCGCAACACTGGAGCCCAGCATGCTTTCTCTGATGCATATGAAATAACTCACAAGGAATTTATGTGGAAACGATGACTGTAATAAATTAGAGGCTTATTTGGGTTTTCATGTGCCTGCTGTATGCATTTATGCCTAAAATAAAGGGCTTAAAGGATGGAACGGTTTACAGAATCATCAGCTAAAATCTCTCCGAGCGACGTGTTGAGGTATAGGAAGCAGACCCTTCTTCATCAGCGGAGGATTAACAAGCACTGAGTGCTGCCGGGAGGAAGCCCTCACTTCTTGTGAGAGCACCAGAGCTCAAAGTAGCACTCCTTCAGGAGGGGAAAACGAATTTATTATAAACAATGAAAGAAGAAGAAGAGAACAGTCTTTGAACTCTGGTGATCTACATAAACGAAGCATAAGCAAACTATTTTTAGCTCATTCATCTCTTGTACAGATAATTATAAAAACATTTTTTTGAATGATGCTTGGGATGAGGAGAGTGAGTGAGTCAATGGGATGGGCATGCAGTTGAGAACATGTTTGGAGAGGGGACTGAATTTTGAAAGGAACAAGATTCCAAAATGTCATGCATGTCTGTTTTCCCAAACAAAAAAATTGAATGAATAAAAATCAAAAGCAAGACACATGACTGTTTCCAGTGAATTCAAAGCGTTATCATTTCCCTGAGGTTTCGTCAAGCAAGTATGGCGTCTCTGAAGGACAAAAAGATCAGGGTTGAAGATTAAAGCAAACTGTGCACTTTGAGGGTAAAGTGAAGGAAGCGTATACAACAAAGAGAAAGGGAAGGAGCATTTTAAGTGAAAGATGCAAAGAAATAAGAGGGTGGAAGACCAGTGAAAGAGCACTTACTTAGCATGCATGAAGCTCTGGGTTCATGCCCCAGCACCAAAATAACAAAAGCAAACAAAAAACCACCCATCTTTTTCTACGGTTAAAAGATTGACTTTATCCTATGTTTTCTGAATAATGAGTCAATTAATTTTTTCTAATTATACAATTGTACTTACAGGAGCAGCTATGCACAGATTTCTAATTTAGCCCCAAATATATTACTTTACAGGTATTAAAAAATGCCCAGTACTGTCTGTGTTAAGCTCTTAGCATACTAAAAGTATCCAGCTCACAGTGCCTTCGTTAGTGAGTAGCGCTGATGTTTGGAGGCAAGCTGGCAGATGAACTGGGCTCAACTCTGACCCCAAGACCAGCGTTTTACAAAAGATATGGAGGTCAGAGTACACCAGAGACTGACTGAGTAATGAAGAAAATTCTGATATTAAAACAAAACAAAACAAAGAAAAAGCAAAACATTGTTGCCATGATACAGAGAGAGACAGAAGGAGAGCTTTCCCTACAGACTGATAGCATAAAAAGTGTCGTAAGGCTCCCAGGAATGGAAAAAGACAGAAACTGAAATCTAGGACGGAAGTCAACACACATGGGAATATTTTCAGAACGCCAAAGCCAGGAAAGACCCAAAGATTCTCTGAGAACCAGAGGAGGTCATTGGAAGGATGGCAGTGGCCAATCCGTCTTCGTTTGCACAAAAGCACAACTCGATTGCATGAATTTAAATTACAGTTATACAGTTCTGGACAAGAACATCCTATTCATGGACGTGAAGGAACCCTGGGAAAAGCGACCGTGGACGCCTATTCTTCTCTAAAGGTTCTTTCAGACTTTCAAAGGGGCTCTGGGCCAGCAGCCCCGGGGGGATTAAGCAAGGTGCCAGGGCACAGCAGTGCCAGCCCGGCCTTACTCTGTCCTCTTTTACATCCGCCATTGTGCAAACTCCAAGTTAGGTGGGAATTCCAGGGGCGGAATAGCTATACTTTCCAGTTCGAACTAAGCCACTCTCTGAAAAGTGGGACCGGGCTTTCCTGCTCCTTCAGTATGAAAACTGAAACACAAAACCCAAAACCTTCTGCTAAATAAGTTATCATCTAAGTAAGCACTTCACTGTGGTCTGCATAAGAGCCCGTGTGGCAGCTGAGGGCATTACCACATGCTAATCCCTCTGTTTTCAAAAGGTAAAACTACTGAATTAGAATAATTGAAACAAAGGGGCTTTAGCTGATTTTTTTCCCTCTCTCTTAGATGGAAGAACGCTCTGGCTGGATCTACTAGTCAAGAAAATGTCCTTGACAATGGTGACAGTGGCGGACTTCCCGTCAGCTCTGCCCTACTGTTTCCATGAACTGAAAAGGAAGCACCTCTTTCCGAGTTTAATATCCTTCTGCTTCTTTGAGGTCAAGGGACAAGATGGCCGGGCATGAGGACAGCCACTTCTAGAAGTTAGCCAGAGCTCACTCCTGGAACCCTAGAAGATTAGCTTCAAGGTTTAGCTTCAGTTTAAAAAAAAAACAAAAAACAAAAATCAAACAGCTTCACTGGCCAGAGGGCAGATGAAAATAAGAGGCAAGGCATTACTACTTAAAGAAGGGCTAGAGATCGGCAGCGACAGTGAAATGGACCCCCCCGAAGTGACGAGGCGAAGAAAGGGAGGCAGCTTTGCAAGAAGAGAGGCCATACTGCTTGAGTGCACATCAGGGAAATGACAAGGCCTCCCTCACGGCCAATCCTGGCGACTCACGGACTTCTGGTGGATTCTCAAGAGAACCCTTTTAGTACAGCGGTCCACCGTGGCAGCCCACTTCCTCTTCGCCTCCTCATCCTCCTCCAGCAAGCACCGCCTCAGGTCCTGCTTCTCAGCCTTGCTCAGCGTCCTGTCTGAGGCAGGACGCACGAGCTGGGTCAGGTTCAGGTGGCTGTAGAGACTCCGCTCCACCACGTAGGTGATATTGAACTCGCTGACCGAGGTGCGCCCTCGGCCCCTCCTGCCAGGGAAGCCGCAGCCGCCGCCGCCGCCGCCACCGCCGCCGCCGCCGCCACCGCCGCCGCCGCCCCCCTTGGGCTTCGGCCGGGGCAGCGGGTCACAGGTGGTGCCATTTACTCCTTTCCTGGAGGGCCGCTGGCAGAGAAAAGTTCTGGAACAGGAGTAATTCGTATCCGTTTTCTTCAAGCGGATTTGCTTACGGACACTCTGAACCTCCTCCAGGGACACCAGAAAGTGGTGCCTACGCCGATGGTTGTCATAGAAGAAAACGCCATCGGTACTTACCCCGTGACTCAAGGACCCAAGACCTTTCTTCATCTCCCCCTCGGTGAGGGAGCGGGACACTTTCTGGGCCTTTTCTTCTTCTGGGTAGGAGAAGAATGTCCCCATCTTCTTAGGGGGCTTAATCAGGCCCCGACTTTCTCCTTTGCTGAAGGTTTTGACCAACTTCCGGCCAGCTCCCCAAGTATCCAGGCTGCTAGATGATGGAGACGGGGTGAGAGACTCTGAATCATCTTCTGGAGGTTTCTCAGGGGAGCCATCATAGAAAAATGGCTTTTTGTGCACTCCAGAGTAGAGTGCGGACCTTTCATCCAGGACTGGGGAGTTCTCAAGCACATGTTCCTCTCCACCTGGAAGGGAATCAACACAAGGTCTCCGGTGAATGACTGTCCCATAGACACTTGTCTGTCCCTGTAAAACACAAGTTAGCTCACACAGTTAATGGTAATATTCCCCCTGCTTACACTATGACCTTCTTCACCTACACGATTCATGTGTCAAAGCATACGCAATAAAGAAGGTAATCAAACTGCATTGCATGGTTTCAAGGAAGCTGAACATTAAACATGTGTGAGCACTGGATGTGGTGGCACAGGCCAGTAATCCCAGCTACTGGGAGGACAGAGGAGGGCCAGTTCAAGATCAACCCCATCAACGTAACGAGACTCAAAGTAAAAGCTTGTTCCTGACTACAAGTCCAGCATGTGACAAGTGGAAAGCAGGGGCATCAGGAGTCCAATGTCATCCCCTGCTAAATACGGGGTTCAAGGCCAGCCTAAGCTACATGAGACCCTGACTCCAAAAACCAAACCAAACCAAAAGAGAGAGAGCTCAAACCTAGAGAGGACTTGTCCAGCTTTACATTTAAACCCTAGTACTACAGGTCAAGGTGGGGGAAACTTCTGATATCTTTAATTCCTCCTCCAAAACAAGTGTGTAGACCAACATCTTCCTTGACCTATTAAAAAAATGCCATTTACAAAACCAAAGCCCGCCGTTACCATGATATGCGTTAGCATTTCAAGATAATTGCCACCCTGGTTTGTAAGGGCAAGCCTCAGAAGCCAGGCTCAGTCTTCCCCATCCTGCAAGGCCCTCCTTATGTGGGCTCTGGAGGCTTTTAGGGTTGGAGTGTGATGAATGCCATGTGGCAGACACTGATATTTTTTTATTGGTACATATGCCATTTAAGTGATTAAATCTCCAGGAGAGTTTGGGTGGGGAAAACACCGTAAAGGGTTATACTTGCAAATGTGATTGACAAATGATCTCCAGTTGACTGGCCAAACACAAAAAGCCAGAGGGACTGAGCAATCCCAGCCAGACAGTCCCATCCACCCACCCAGCCCCGGAGGAAAGAGCAAGGGCATTTAAGGGCCTTGACACGCAAGCAGCTCACTAAGTGTTCCACTTGGGCTCAGGCTTCCAGGCCTGAAAGCTCTCTCTGGGGCCAGGTAGCGAGCCAAGCCCTCTGGAGGAGCCGAGTGGAAAGGCCTGGATGGGCGGGCAGGAGAGAGCCAAGTTCTTCTCGGCATGTGTTTCTGTGAACAGATGTGACGGAAGAAGTAGGTCAAGCTGTGGGTGTAGTGATCCCAACTGGCTGCATCCCTTCATTATAAGGAAACATTGGGGCCTCGCTGCTTTCCACCAGCTGAACGGGGGAGAGGGGGGAAAAAAATCCAGAGTTCCCTGGAACACAAGGACAGCACTGTACACGCCAGCTGTGCCAAGGGTGCCAGAGGGCGGTTAAGTGTCAGGGAAAAGGAGAGAGAGGAGGTGGCAAAAATGGCACCCACTTCTAGAAGATTCTAAAACCAGCTACCTTCTCTAACTGGATGGCTATTAGCTACAGAAGAACTCTGCTATGAAATCCCACTTAGGAGCAACTCCACCTTCGTGGGCAGAACCGAGTGGTGGAGAAGGACGGGACAAGGGAAGAAGGAGAGATCAACACGATGCCCAGTCCCAGGTTCACTAAAGAACTGTGTGAGGAGCTTTGGGGGTAGTTTAAGGAAAGGCCAGGCTCGGACAGGATTTAGCTCGACCACAGACGGTACACAAATATGAGAGTTGCTTCCTGCTCCCTCCTCCAGATGCCCTAATAGGTATGGAGACCAATGGTACTTATTTTTTTCCCCAGTAAATATAGTTACTTCTAAAGAGTGTGCCCTGCTTCTAGGAAGAAGCAACTGGGCTAAGACTGGAGGCCAGCCTCGTGGCAGAGGTAGCCCCACAGTGAATGAACAAGGCCATGTTAAGCCCTCCAGGTGGCACAGATCCATGGAAAGCATTGGCGGAGTTTTCCTGTCCCACAGCCGTTCTCAAATAATTGGTCCTGAAAGGCTCCATGGGGGCCTGGTGAGCTTTGCCCAGTATTCTCAGGACCTGCTACTCATCCATGGTCTGAACATCTTCTGGAGTGTTTTTAAGATAGCCATAAGCAGTTTCAACACCTCTGTCACAACTGGGCCTCGCACTATCTGGGACACACATGTTGGTGACATGTGCAGCCTTAGCCTGGAAAGGCAGTGCTTGCCTGGTAAGGAGCTTTGAGCGGAATATGGAAATGCCTCCGAAGAGGCTGCGTCAGCCTTTGTGAGCAGGCCTGTGCACAGCGAGCTTTACTGTCCGTGTCTGAGAGGCAGCCCAGAAGCCCTGACCCGGGCTCCCTGAACACAGCATTCTTCTCCTACAGAAACAGCTTTGCTGTGGCAGGAGCAGAGACCCAGGTGAGCTCTCCTCCGTACACTGTGCAACATGCTTCACAGCGGCCTTTATCTTAAAGCAGCTGAGATCAGAACACCCAGGAAGGGTGCTTCCAGGGTGTAAGACCACAGGGATACAGCTTTCCACAAGTTCTGGCCTTCAGCCATAGCTCTGGGACCCTGGGCATCTGGACCTCTCTGAGCCTCCTCTATCACAACACCTACCTATCTTTACATAATACCCAATCCGGTTACTGTAAATGCTAACAAAAAGAGACACCTGAAGCTTCCTCATTTGCTGAAAGGCACCACACAGGAGCTGTTGGTCCTGTGTTGGCTTATCAGTGCTCCTGTACTCTGGGGAGTGGTAATGCCATCCACCTCTACAGACAACACACAGACGTGGGCAGACAAGAGACACAAACTCAGCCTGTGTTTAAGACTATCCAGGGCTGCTGTGTTGGGATATACCTGGAAAGTCAGGGTGGGGGAGGACCAGGTGAGGGACTCTAACGTCATGAGTTCTCAGGAGCGGTAGGATGTCCAGGGTGAGGGCAGGGGAGTGGGGTGGGGGATGATATGCTAAGGAAGTCCAGCTGGCTGGCTGGCTGAGTGACCTTGAGGAAGATCCCCGGCTTCTTTAATCTCAGTCTCCTTACTGGTGAAATGAGTAAGTGCCTGCCTCTGGTGGGTATTCCAGAGACGGCATATTAAAAGGCAACATCAATTCTCAATGTGGGGGAAAGTGCCGCGGACGCAGAATGCATCTCAATAAAGGACTACTATTTGCCTTAGCATTGGCACGGGCGTGCAGGCCATCAGCAACGCCTTCAAATCTCTGTAAGTCCACGGGCACTGGGGAAGAGACTCGCGACTCAACTAGCCTATCCCACCTCCTGGTTCTTCTGCCAATAGGAACCTCAGAGACAGTGGTCACGTGAGGGCTGGAGGCAGATACTCTGAGCTACACACACACACACACACACACACACACACACACACACACACACACACACACACGAGCAAGGCTTGCAATTTGAATTCATTCAGCCCGTCTTCATTGGTGAGGCCCCTCCACACTCAGATGACTTCATAGCTAGAACTGTTTAACGTTTTGACCTTCCATTGCTTCTTTTGGTATTTTGCCATCCCTCCCCCCCCCCCACATCCCCAAACATAGTTGAATTGATATACTCCACAAATTTGGGTATTTCAAGATGTATAAAATACTATTCTGGCATGAAGGCTGCCACAGGCCAAAGTCCTGCTGGGTTGGTTAACTGGGCTCAGTACAAAGTGTGTCACTCACTGCGTGGACAAGCCCCACGACTCTGACTGTCATAGCTGAGATTTGATTTGGGCGCCGGCATGAAGTTCGCCTGACCACGCACACTTGATGAGTGAATGCATGGTTCTCTACCAAAGTCCAAGCTTCTCCCCTGTTTTCACATTTTAATAAGGCCTGCCATGCTGTGAGAAAAGCTTGGTAAATTCTGCACAGTGGAAACCTTGGCCAACAGACAGGTATTAAAACATCCAAATAGCTGGGCGGTGGTGGCGCACGCCTTTAATCCCAGCACTCGGGAGGCAGAGCCAGGCGGATCTCTGTGAGTTCGAGGCCAGCCTGGTCTCCAAAGCGAGTTCCAGGAAAGGCGCAAAGCTACACAGAGAAACCCTGTCTCAAAAAAAAACCAAAAAACAACAACAACAACAACAAAAAAATCCAAATAGAAACCAACATTATATTCAAATATAAACAGAATTACTATACCAACAAACACTCACAAAGAATTCAAGTTAGATCCATGTTTATGAAGTTATCCATCAAGCTTATGTCTCTTGCCAACCCCCCTTTCCTTCCCACCCCCCATTCTTTTACAGCTACCAGCATCTTCAATTTTATCCTAAAGAACTAAATCAACAAACAAGAACCAGAACTAGAAAGTATCAATAGCAGCAAGAAGCCCTAATCTTTGAAAATAAGAGGAGATTCAGTTTCCTGGGTACAACTTGGTTTTGTTTACAAAGATCAAAAAGGCCTCTATAACAATAATTCTAACACCCACATGTTAAAATCTGAAATTCCTCATAACATAGACATATTTTCACAAGTAATGTTATTTCTTACTACAGCAATCCATTATTTTTCCAATTTACTCACTACCATTTTATAAACAAGAAAATCTCATAGCTGGGTGGGGGTAAGACAGGGCGTCACTATGTAGCCCACAGAGCTCCCCTCTCAGGCTCAGGACTACTAGGATTGTAGGCCTCTTGCTGTATGCTACAACATTCAGGAATATTAAGCTTTTATTTGATCTTTTGGGGGGTAGATTTTTATATAGTTTATGCATACTACTAAAAGTGGAAATGAAGAAGGTCATAATTTAAACAAGCATAATTATAATTCAAAGGTTCCTGTTCATCCTGATGCTCCCCATTTGATGTCTCCGTTGACATTATTGTTTCATCTTCCCAGGCAGCTCTTAAAGATCCCCTCAGAATTGAAGGTCCTCAAAGCCCCTTGTGAACAGAGACTTGAGATTATTTCCTGGAAGAACAAAGCAGCCCCGAGGCTTTGAAGGGATATTAAGTGCCTTGATTGTCAGGTGGCTTTGCAAGATGGATGCACGGTGTATCAAATCTGCATGAGATACACGGCATCACAAACTCCAGAGAAGTCTATGCTGAGAACATATAGGGTTATGTATGGCAACATGAGCTCGTAATTAAAGCTGCACCACACCTTCAGATTTTATCGTCTGACCCTAGCCATTTCCCATCTTCTGTCACACTGGAATTACTAAGTGTCCAAAATACTGGACACCAGGATCCTTCATTCCATAACACTGAGCATTGCCCTGCTGGGCACAGAGACAACCCTGTCAGCCTCAGCCAGAGCTCAATTCATTTCCTACTTGAAATCATATTCTGTTTCTATATTGAAAATCCGACCCGAAGTGATTTCTTTTGAAAGAACCAGGGTGGGGTTTGCCGTCTCCCCGCCCCCACTCACCCCTCACCCCCCGCTTTTTTACCTTCAGTGCTTGGCTTTTTCATTTCTTCCACCCTAATTAGCTTCTTTCTGACTCTTCGAGTAGAGTTTACCAGCTTGTGTAACCTCTTAAACTTCACCGACTCCTCGGTCTCATCATCTGATTGTTCTCTTGACTGGCAAAGAAACAGAGGAACAGTTAATCAGTTAATTGCTCCAGAGCTGTGCCCTCCCGGCTGGCATAGCTGGCCTGTCAGCCAAGGCCAACTATCCACAGCTCTGCCGCCAAACTTGGGATATCAATAAATCTACCCAACAGGTTTACAAAACCCCACATACCCTCAGATGGCCCGATTCAGCACAGAATCAGTCCTAGGGACAAAGTACACATTCTTGGCATTGACTACCATATGGGGTGTGTGTGTGTGGGGGGGTCCATCCCACCATCCTGCTCCCTGTGTCTTTCAAGCCAAGTCCAGCAGGACTTTCTCCTCAAGCTGGCCCTGTAATTCCAGTTACGCTGCTGTGGTTTGGGCCAGGCTCTCCTCTGTCTGGCCCATCGGGACTTGCTGTTGAACGTGGTCATCAACCACTTCTCCAAACCAAAATTTTGTTGACTTTTTCCAGCACCCTCCCTCCCCCCAAAAATCAAAACCAGCAGGCAGAAAAGGGGAAGTAATGAAAAAAAAGAAAAGAAAAGAAAGAAAGAAAGAAAGAGAGAGAGAGAGAGAGAGAGAGAGAGAGAGAAAAGAAAGAAAGAAAGAAAGAAAGAAAGAAAGAAAGAAAGAAAGAAAGAAAGAAGGAAAGAAGAAAAAACACCCTTCTTTCCTATTTGTTCTAACTGCCTGCCACATCACAGCTGTCCCTTCCGCCTCCCCCAGCTCCTTCTGAGGGCTCACGAGGCAAGGCTGAGGACAGCCCCACATTCCTCCAGAGAGACAAGGGAAAAAGCTGACCTTTACAGCCATACAGTACAGTCCATATTCCCTAGCATCCCATTCCATTCTGCAGCGACTCAAGTGTGCGCTGGCCCAGCTGTTTTCCCTCAAGTATCAAACGTTACAGAGGGGAGAGAAAAAAAAAAAAATTCTCTCTCCATAGCAGTGACTGGGGCTAAAAACAATCCTTTCCTTGTGAACAGAATGAGGGCTTCGTTTCCAAGTCCATTCCGACATTCAGCATGCAGCTTCCTCTACTGTATCTCTTGAAACTGTGAAAAAGCAAAGGGAGTTTCCCACCGGAGCGCGAGCTGCATGCTGCACCACCCGGCCGGGTACTCCGGCCTTTTGGGAGCACCCTAGCCTTAGCATACTCCGTGCAGCCAGTGAGGAGGTCCAGCTAATCCTGCACATCTTGACAACAGCATCCCTTCATGTCTTCCGTGCAATTCTCAGGGGGAGAGATGACTCAACCCACCCACCCACCCCCAACAAAAGAAAACAAACAAACCACGTCTCCAATTCGAGACCAATGAGGGGACTTCCCCCAAGAAAATCTCTCCCTAATCTCAATTTTATAGGCAATAAAATAGGTAAATAAGTGTTGGCAGAGAATGGCACAAAAGAAGACGGACGGAGACCTTGTGGATTACTCAGAAATGGTGCATGCTGAGATAATTTTCTCAGCACAATAGTACTCTCCTCTGGATAAGTTTGACCCATTTTCTGCCACCTCCTTGCCTTGGGGATCACAACATGGAGCCACTGTACTTTATTCCTGTCGACTATCTGTGAACAATTCACTCACTGATGATTAAATAGTACAGACTCCAGCAAATCAGACTGGAATATTCCTCAGTCTTCCATTCTGTGAAGTGCGTCCGTATCTATATCCAACTTCTCTAAAATTCCTAGGAAAACACTGCCTGCAGATTCGGGTTGTAGAGATGGCTCAGTGGTTAAGAACACCACTGGCTGCTCTCCCAGAGGATCCGGGTTCAATTCCCAGCACCCACATGGAGTTCACAGCTGTCTGTAACTCCAATTCCAGGGGATCTGGCATACACACCAACCCCCCGTCACATGCAAGCAAAAACATCAATGCACATAAAATAAAAATAAACAAATCTTAAAAAAAAAAAAGTTGCCCACTATCTACTTGACAGACTAGAAGGAAAATGGGAACCTACTCCCTATCTCAGTAAGGAAAAGGGGCGGTTATCCTGAACAATTACGGTTAATGCACTTAGTTCAAAAGGTAAAAAAAAAAAAAAAAAAAAAAAAAAAAAAAAAAAAAAGTTAAAGTAGTAAGCTTAGCTCCAAATACAAAATGATAACATCTGCTTTAAATTTCATTCTACTTTGTTGACATGTAATGAACTGAAATGGTCAGAGTGGCCAACCAGAGGCATGAGAACTTGGTTACCCTCATTCTGGGTCATGAGCACCTCAGTAATCCACGGTGCACTGAATTCATGCAAACGTTTCAAAATATTGCAGCCTCCCATTGCCAGCAACTCAAGCAGAAGAATTAACCTTCTATTATACAAGGCTTCTGTATATTCAAACAACAAACAAACAAAACCAGGAGAGGTATCTTGCCTTGACATTATAATAAATTCCAGAGTCAAGTCAAGGTTGAAATAAGCACCAACTGTTTGAACTTAAGAGATAGGAAGCTAGATTATGAGATTAAAAACCGGTCATGTAAATACGCTCCATAGCTAATTTGTTGGTAGTGGGCTGTTGATGGTTTGTGTACTGGGGAGGGTGAGCGTTTGAGTGCATAGAAAGTACTGGAATGTAGGAATCAGTAACACAAAAACTCTTCTACAGAGACACAAGCCATGCACAGAAAAGGTACATTTGCATGAACTCTCCAGGAAGAAATAAAAATAGTCACATCAGGACATGGGACTGAAAGCCAACATTCCCTCATCGGAGCCTTCCTTTCATCGGCCTGCGTTCACTGTGGTGAAGAATAACACGGTCCAGGTACTTCCTCAATCTGTCACATGGTCTACCTACATTTTGAGGAACATGAGCTTCTGAGAACTTTAAACTGATGCTATTTCTATTTTTCTAAGTCAGTGGAGGTTCTGGAGGTGTTGGCCACTCACACATCTCAAGCCACGACAACAATGGACTTCCTCTGTCATGTCACGCTCTGGACCCTAGGCAGGTTGATAAGGCAGGCCATTGAAGAAGTACGTTTTTCTTTTTTTTTTTTTTTGGTTTTTCGAGACAGGGTTTCTCTGTGTAGCTTTGCGCCTTTCCTGGATCTCGCGCCGTAGACCAGGCTGGCCTCGAACTCACAGAGATCCGCCTGCCTCTGCCTCCCGAGTGCTGGGATTAAAGGCGTGCGCCACCACCGCCCGGCACGTTTTTCTTTTTAATTAAAAGATTCCTCTGTAGTCAGCTTGGGAGTCTTTAAGACAATTTTTATTGATGGGGAGAGTCAATTTCTGGATTCCTTTTGAGTCCCAGGGAAGAAACTTATGACATATTAGTTTAAAAAAAAATCTCTCCAGCTGTTTTAATATAAAGACACAAGTGACTGCATTTCTTCTAAACTGAGTAATAAATTCTTCAGTGTATATTTCTTCTTTCAAATAACCATGTGTTACTTTCTAAATGCTGAAAACTTGAGTATGTTTTTAATATATATGTATATTATATATGCATATATATACATTACCCCTTTTATTCAAGAAATTGACTATCATAAAAGGGAGTTTGAGAACCTTTTAAATTAAGTATCACTAAAAATACATACATATAATTTTTAAAATGTAAATTTTTTTAAAAACAATCTTGATAGGCAGAAAATAAATATTGTAAGTATTTGGGTGGAAAAAACCTTTCTACCTAAAAGGAGGTTTGTATATAAATGATTCTAAGAAATAGGCTCATAACCAACACAGATCCACAGAAACCAAAACAAAAACTTAAAAAGCATATGTTCGCACATACTCAAACATTCTCCCATCTTTGTACCCCAGCACCTCTGAGTTAGTTTAAGTTCACTAAAGTAAACTTCAGCTTGATCATTTTATAGACAAGAAGGCAAAGTCCGTCAGCTTTATCCACCCCATCCCAAACCAGCCCGAGAAAAAAAGCATGATCCCACCAAAGATGTGCAAAATGCCTTTACAGTATTGTAAACAGAAACATTTCATTTCTAAGCTTTCTGCTGCAGATTTTTCCACCAGAAAACCCATATGGCTCAACTTTTAATTACTTTGGCTAATGCTATATGTAGTAATTCTGTGGTGAATGCTTAAGTGTTTCATTTCTGGTTTCCATAGCAACATTACATCAGATTGCAGACAGCTGGCTCCACAGTTTCAAACCATAACAAATTGACCAAGCCAAGGCACAGAACTATAGCTGCTTTAAAGAGATAGCACACCCTTCGGCTGCTAGGCACTGAGTGAGGAGTCTATGGGGCCATTTGGCATGGACAAGAGGGTGGAGCCTCCTTTCTCCCCAGCTTCTCTTGGAACAAGTGCATCCTTTGACACATCTGTGATGCTCTAATGGGAAAAGCCAGGGAGCCAGCGTGGAGAACTTTTTATAACACAACTACACGCAAGATGATCGGAAAAGTGGAACCAAATTAATCACATCTGTAAATAAGAAGGTCTGTGTGCTGGTGCACTCTAAAAGCATCCCCTCACTGCTCAGCCTAAGCCTGTCACTGCGGCCTGAAACAGATACTTCACTGGACCTTATAACAAACAGTTCTCCCATCTATGATGTACAGAATAAGTGGTTTCCGAAACTTTAGTGGCATAGTAGCAACAAATGTGCTGGAATAAATATTAATCCATACTTGCAGGGAACAACCAGATCCTTGGGGAGAACCATACGAGACCATCCTGAGCACAGGGTTACCGCTTGCCTCCCGGCTCCAAATCCGAGACACACTGTCACAATTAACAATCAGAAAAACCAGTCCGTCTATCTCCCCCAGAGCTATACAACATCATACAATACAGACGCGCTTCTGAGAAGTAGTTTTCAACTGCAAATATATTTGCTTGAGGAAGTCACACAATAGTTTTGTTTGAACCCAGTCCACGAGAAGACATAGACACTTCAACTTCCTACTGCCAGGCTGTCACTGTATCAATTCTAAAAGTTATGAGAAGAAAGCCAATTAATCTTTCTTACTTACTGAACACAATGCTAAATCTGTCTGGATTTAAGCCCTTCATACAGAGTCAGCCCAACAC